TATATATAAAATTTAAATTTTTAGTTTCCGTTAGGGATATTCTTGTATTTCTTTAGTTGTAGAGATTTAAGGAGTAGAATTTAAAAATTAATTTTTTTATTTTTAAAAAAAGATGATATGGATAAGGATTAGCATGGTTAGGTTGGTTAATATATGTTAGACTTGTTTTTAAGCAATAAAGGAGAAATAGAGTTCAATTTGTTGTTTTTATTTATTATTCTTTAGAAATTTGTATTTAAAAGGAATAAATCCCTTCTTTACAAAAGAGTGATTGAAAAATAAAGAAAAAAAAATTAATCGTCTGAAAAGATCTTAGGGTGAACTTCCTTGCAGACGTAAAGAGGGTATAATTTCTCAATTCATTTCTAACTTATTTTTTTCTTGTCGTGTATTATTTTTCACCTTGCATCACCTTTTGGGGGTAAAGAAAGCTAAGAACCCCAACAAAAAATTTCAAATTGAAATTCTATAGTTCCTCATGAACAATCAGATTCATCCGATAAGGTTATCCAGTAAACAATTTTCTCATGAAAATTAAAGCGTAGTTCAAAAATCGAGAAAATCCATGAGAGGTTTTCACTATGGTGGTACGTCCACAAAGACAGTTTTCTTTGGTAAGGTCAGCATGGTCGCTCTCTCACTTTAAACTAGTGTCTCAACAGTGGACCCAAAATATCACTTCTGGGCCTGTACTCGGACCCGTATCTGACGGGTCTAAACATATAGTAACCAGATCCATACTTGAGAGGGTACGAAAGATCCAGGATCCGCACCCGGACCCTTTCTTATGCCTCATTTAATGGATTCAAGTGGGATTAATGTTGCCCATAAAGAGAGAAAGAAGGGTACGTAAGAGAGAAGAGGTGGGATTAATGCCGCCATGGGGAGAGAAAGAGGAAGGTTACATAATTAATGAAGGAGAGAAAGGTGAATTAATGAAGGCGAGAGACATAATTAACGAGGGAGAGAACTGATTAGCATGTATCGAGAGAAAGGATGAGTGTCACTGTACACTAGAGAGAGAGAGAGAGAGGGGACCCAAGGTCCAAGGAAAAGCCATTACTGTTTTTAGGAGTAACAATGTAATTGTATAGAGCCCAGGCTCTACACTACCTGTTGGAGAAGTACGGTTTTAAGGCTGAAAAGTTTTGTGATAGCCTTAAATTATATTTTCATCTTTAGTTATAAAATTTAAAAAATATTGTAAAACGAGCGGATCTCTGAACACTTGAAAATCTTGAGAATTGATGGTCCAAAAATGTATTATAAGATGCACTATTTCCAAAAGTTGAAATCCATTTTTTTACTCATGTCCATGCATCTTGATGTCGAGATGATCAATTTGATGATATTTTGGGATCCAAACAACCTCTTCTGGTGAAAGTTTTGGGGTAAGATCTAATTTGATTGTTTAGAGCCTAGGATCTATATAAACTTTTCCCTCTCTTTAATAACTATTTTTAGGCTGGCACTGCATGGATTAATCCCACGTCAAATAGTTGTATAGAATCCCTTGAGTATAAGCTCTATAAAATGGGCATCGGAACTTAGAGATAGTTTAAAAAATCAAATCATATAAAATAATAAAATAGTTTTATTAAAACTAAAGTTAAATTAAATATAACTAGATTTTGATGGATGAGGCCCAAATATAGATTTTCTGTCTTAATGTAAAAAGACACTATTTTGAGAATTATATTTATATTCATGTAAATAAATATAATTCAGCATATGTTTTCAAAATGTATATTAAAAAGCCTTGAGACTTGCCGTATTTGTCTCATACATTCAGCATATTTTTCAAATTTTCTATTGATATTACAGATTAGAAAATAGATCATCTAGAAACCATTCAAATCTTTTTCGTTGCATGATCATTTTGTTCCATACCTTTCTACTATGGATTATAATCCCTCAATTGTGAATTTAGTATTGTGATATTATTATGCCTTAAGATGAAGATTACCTTCGTGGATCAATAACGAGACAAATCATACCCTATGCTTTTGCTGCTTGATTGCTTAGAGAGAGATAGTGCAGAGCTGCTTTGAAGAGAGAGAGAGTGCAGAGCTGCTTTGAAGAGAGAGAGAGGGCATATTAATAGCCCTTTTTTTGTTGCTGATAATGTAGTATCTTTGATGTAATTTGCTTATGTTATGAATAAATTTTAAATTTTGTCAAAAAAAAAATAGAGATATTTAGATGAGAGAGAAATGACAAATATATTGGAGCTTATGGATTTGGAGAGTAGAGAGAGATAAAAGACAGAATCACACGGCCTTGAGAGTAGAGATGAGATTTTTTATTTTAAATATCAAAGGATAGTAACAATAGAGATAGGTATTTTTGTTTTTGAATAACAATCTACCATCATCAGTTAAAAAAAAAAAAAAACCTCAAAAAGAAAGATAATGAAAATAAATCCTACCATTCCATATCTCATTTGAAAATAAAATATGCAAAATTACAAAATCTTGGCAAATTTTTCAAAGAAGGGTTCACCATAATCGATATATTCATCTTAAATAACATTAATAGTTTCCCATAATAATACTATATAAGCCGATGTCCATCCAGTTTCAGTTTTGGAACATAATGATACTATCCAAAAAAATTAGATAGGTAATTCAATTTATCCATGAACAAAATCCTATGATTCTTTTATCCAAAATTTCACTACAAAAAATCAGAAGAATAACATGAAGTGTATGTAATAACCATCAAAATTCCTAATATACACTTAACTCAACTTCTTGCGTCAAATAGCCAAATTAATTTAAAAACTAAAAAGCCATCAATGAACAAAATTTTAAGTTTCTTTTATGCAAAATTTAACTACAAAAAAACAGAAGAATAACATGAAAAGCATGCAATAACTATCAAATTCCTAACATATACTTAACTCAACTTCTTACTTCAAATAGCCAAAACATTGATTAAAAAACTAAAAAGCTATTACTTCCTTAATCCAAATAACAAACTAAAAACCATAAATCAATAAATTTATGAAAATCACGCATAAACAGAGAGAGAGAAATGAAGCTCACCTTGTTGAGAGGTTGAGAAGGACATGTGAAACTATTTTGAAAGGTTGAGAGTGGCACGTGAAACTATTTTGAGAGGTTGAGAGAGTTCTATTTATAAGACTTATAAACTTAATTAGGATAGAAGTCTTAACAAAGCGTGAGATATGAAATCTCACTCTTAATATGATAGAGATATTTTAGGTGAAGAAATAATAACTACAGATTTTAAGATATGGGCAAACTTTCTACGCTTCCACTACAGCATAAAACTTATATACTTCCCCTTATCCAACCGTCAATATTGGATGGAGGGCTAAGATTGCCCCAATCACAATGGTTACACTATTTTATTTTTAATTCTTTTTCTATAAACTATTTTGACACCAAATTTTGGACATCCAATCCTCTATTAAACTCGCACTAACAAAATATATAAAAAAATATTTTCAATAAAATAAAATGACCAAAATACCCTTAAAAGTTTCAAGGGGTATTTTGATCATTATATTTTATTGAAAATTTATTTTTAATATTTTTTTATATGTGCACCCCAATGAGAAGATGGAAGGTACCAAATTTCATATTTATACAATTTGTATAAAAAAAAACTAAAAATAAATGAGACGTCAAATCTAAGATCAAACGGTGAGGGGCTCTCTTGATCAAAATTGGATGGTTGGATGATAAAAAAAACATAAATCTTCTATGTTGTAGGGGAAGTATAGAAACCTTTCCTCCCCCATTTCTTCCTCTTCCCCTTCCTCTCTCTTGCACATACTCTCTTTCTCCTCAAAATCTCTCTTAAAATATCTTATTTTCACTCTCTTGCACGTACTATCTCATAAAATATCTCATTCTCTCTCTCTTGTACATATTTTCCCAAACATATCGTACTAAAATCTTTATTTTCCAAAATCTCTTCTAAAATCTCATATTCTCTCTTGCACATACTCTCTCTTAAAATCTTTCATTCTCTCTCTTGTACATACTCTCTCTCCTCAATCTCTCCTAAACTCTCGCATTATCTCTCTCTTATACATATTCTCTTGAATAAATCCTACTGAATAAATCCTACTAAAATGTTGATTTCTTAAAATCTTGTATTAAGAGATTATCTCTTATACTCTCCTTAAATTAAATACTCTTCAGGCATAAAATATTAAGAAAAGGTAAATATCCTCTGTTATCTACTCTTTGCACACAAATTTTAAAAAACAATTGGCTAAAACAAATTCTCCTGTTTCTCAATAAGCTATGGAAACATTATCTCTTCTTAAGATCTTTACCCTATCTTCTTAAACTCTCTACTCTACATGCACAAAATTTTAATCTCTCCTCCCCCTAAACATGAGGTATATGTCCTACAACCTCTGTAACATTACGATGCCTTTTTATTTTTACGACACATATCCACCCCTTAACACTTGCTTAATAGTGTGGTATAGATAAATCTGAGTCCGGGTACGCGCTAGGATGGGTATAGCGATACCCATACCCGGGACTATTCGGGAATCATTTATTGAACCCGGACCCGCAGGCCAGACCCTACCCACAGGTCCAAAACCTCGACCCATACCCAAACCTATGTCAGGTATACCCGTCGGGTCTCGGATCGGGTCCAGGTCCATTAGACCCCCTAAGTTTAATTGGCCTAACGCTCCTCTGAAGCAACCTAGATAAAAATACCTCACTTTTGAGAGATTGATAAGATAAATGATGATCTCCTATGTAGGGATGGCAGAAGCTTTTGTATATTATGCAATTCACACATGATGAAACACAAACAATTATCCTAAGATCTCAGTATGGATGCATCCGATGTGAATATTAGATAGAACACCAAACCAAACTGTTTTAATTCCAGAATGACTACAACATTACATTCCACACGAGCGAGCCACAGAGAGAGAGTAGTTATAGTCGAAAAGAATTACAGAGAAGAATACAAACACCAACCACATATCACAGCGTTATCTTAACGATTGAAATCTGAAGTCACCTCTGAATACTGCCCCTTTACATGTGTCTCTCTTAAGAATTGCAGCAAGCTGATTTCTCAGCAGCTTTCCCATCAGCCTTCCCTGCTTCTGGCTTGTTGATCTTGATTGTCTGAGGCTGCAATAACAACACACCAAGATTCACAAAACCCTGAATTTGATCAACTCTTGAATATAAAAAGAGAAGAAACGAGTTCAAAATTTAATGGAAACAATACCTCAGCCTTCGAGTCTGTTTCAGCCAGTCTCTGCTTGATATCCCTGGCTATTGAAAAGAAAACTTGCTCCACATTCAAATTTGTCTTTGCACTCTGCACCATTACATATACCGTTTGTCTCTTGAGAAAGCTTAGAAGGCCTTATGTGCATAATCAATCAGAGGGAGAACAAAGAAAATGGATAGATTGGTGAAAACTTACAGTCTCAAAAAATTTGATGCCATATTCGTCAGCCAGTGCCTGACCTCGAGATGTAGGTACAGCCTGGTAGGTGGTAAAAGGGCAACATTTGATGATTAATTCACAGCATCCATGGAGATAAAAGTGTGTGCTCATAAATAGGCTTTACATTTTCAGCAAATTTTCAAAAATTCTAGTATGCTGCTTGGACAGCCAGGTGGAAAATTTTCCAGGAAAATATACTCTATCACGATGACAGGGAGATAATCACGAGGGTCGTCACCTTCCATGCAAATGAGAGAGTGGCAACCACTAGAACATGACACGAATTTGATGTGGGTTCCACTGTCTTGACTATGCAATCCTTCGATTAGACGGTGATGACCCTCATGACCATGTAGGACCAGTTGTTATTAGAATTACAGTGGATTTTAGCATTTTGTTTTAGCTTGGATATCATTAGTAATTGGACAAAAAATGGAAAAGCATATATACTCAATACTTGATATAAAAGGCAGAATGGCAGTTTCTTTCAAAACACACAAGTCTTTCACCGTAAGTCCGACCAATTTCACTAACTTGTTTAAAAAATATTTCAGACCAAACCTCAGTCAGAGATGAACTCTAGACGTTGTTTTATAGTTAGTAAAAACACATGTAGCCATTTTGCTAAAAAAATGTTTATCCCTGAAATTTGTGATATCCTCTGAAATTTGGTCATAAGCTTAAATGAAAACAATGACAAAGCTTGCTCAGAATCTGAATGTTTTAAATCCCACTTACAGATACAAACAAATTTGGCTGCTATGTTTTGTTCACACCCATAAGAAAAAAGTTTAAAATTCAGCAGCCATAAAAGCTAAATGCATTACCCTTTTGCTCTCATCCATATCAGCCTTGTTGCCCACCAGTATCTTGTTAACATTGTCAGATGCATGTTGCTCAATATTACGTATCCAGTTCCTAATGTCTGAAAAAAACATCAATATTAGCCACACCTCATTTAAGAAACACAGGAGAAAATACTAGAATCAAGCTTTGGATCAATCATAAAAAGGAAAGGGACAGGCAATACTGTTAAATGAAGACTCGTCAGTTACGTCATACACCAGTAAGATACCCATGGCACCCCTGTAATAAGCTGCAGCAGAAAGTCAATTACATCATTAAACCTTCAGAAGGCATACTGATCAATTAAATTCATTTTGTAGAAACGTGGCCATTTACCTGTTGTAATAGTTCGGAAACGTTCTTGACCAGCCGTGTCCCAAATTTGCAGTTTGATGCGCTTGCCATCAAGCTCAATTGTTCTGATCTTGAAGTCAATCCTGAAATTTTTCTTGATCAATGAGTCAATCCTACAATTGGGGGCTGCACACTCAAGCAGAATGGGACAATTTGAACAAAACTCTTTAAAAATTTGTGATACCAGGAGTACTTACCCTATGGTGGTAATGAAACTGGTTGTGAAAGAATCATCAGAAAAGCGCAAAAGTAGGCAACTCTTCCCAACCCCTGTCCATGTGATCCCAACATCACTTAATCAGTTTTCTTATCTCTTCCCCTTTTATGGACACAACAAATTGAGCTACAAGGATATCCACAGCATAAAGAGAAAATTGACAAATTATATGAAGGTAAATGGTAAAAGTATCCCGCAAAGAATCACAAAAGTTTCTTAATAATGCCTGTGCACATCAGAGCTGAATCAAACCATATGACAATTTATAAACTAAAAGAATAACTTGCATGTAACAAACTACATAGTAAAATATGTGTGTTTCACATTATACCCTAGTGGTATGAGGCCCTCTCAAAATTTTATGTTCCAGTTTGATTTTCAATCGCATTGCAACTTCCTCCAAATCAAACAAAAAAAAGCTAAAATACTTTATGCAGTGAGCACTAAAGAACAGATATCTCGAATTTCTGAGTGAAAGCCTAAAACTGTTAGAAATAATAAATTTTTAGGAAAAAAACTTTAACAACAGAGAGAGAGAGAGAGGCACAGAGAGAAGTTCCTGACAAGTGCAGCCTCCTCCTTTCACTAGTTTTAGCATGTTCCAAAGAAACTTCAAAAAACTCGACCATTAAAATACATAAAACATCTCAAGAAGTCTTCCTGTCATAATCCAACCAGAAAACCATGAAATGATCTACCGACCCAAACCCCACTGCCACAAAACTGTCTCCTTCAAAGGCTGATAATCTTCTTCCATAACCAAGCAAGTTCTTCCATAACAATCAAAGTAAAGCAGGCCTTCCTTGCGGTCTTCTCCTACTGCAATGGTGGCCCTTATGGAGCCCAAACCTTCTGACCCTTCTTCTTCCTTGCTGCCTTCTTCTTCTGCAGCGCTTGAGGCCTTGTCATCCTCTATGCTCGTGCTGCAACAACAAGCCCCCTCTACCCCCAAAGAGGGGACTGACCTAATTGCATCAAAACAAGGGGGCTGCCCTTCTTCACCTATAGGGGATGAGCATATCCCTAGTTTGTATCTCAACCCTTCTGAGTTTCCCTCCTTGTGTGCTGCCACTGGCTCAAGTGCTTCCAAGGGTCTGGAAGACCCATCTTCAGCACCGAATGGGCCATATTTGGCGTGCTCGAACAAAACTAGCACCAACATGTGGTCACAGGGCACCTCTTCATCCCTCTTCCCGTTTGGCAACCATGGGGTCCAAAGTCGGGTTGCCTACTTCAAAACATGACCAGTGGAACATGCCACTATGGTGGATGGCAAAAGGTGCGCCATGGTGGATTAGATCTCTACAATTCCTGCGCCTCATGGTGGGAGAACTGTTTACTTGGATACTTCCTCGGGAGAAGACCTGAATGGATGTACATGAAATCCATGCTCACGAAAATGTGGAGAACCCAATCGGAGTAGGAGATCATTTCGCTAAGCGACGACTTCCTGCTGTTCAAATTTCAATCGGCTAAGGAGATGGAGATTGCGATGACTGGGGGGACCATGGTTCATCAACAAGAAATCCTTGGTGTTACAGAAATGGATTCCAAATGAGCTCCCATCTAAGAAAGACTTATGCAAAGTGCCCGTGTGGGTTAAATTTCCAGAACTTCCCCTTTCGTGTTGGGAACTAGAAATCTTGTTCAAGCTTCCTCCCTAATTGGTAAACCGATCTTTAAGGACAAGCCCACTCATCTAAAGTCAAGACCTGATGCCCAAGTACGTGTGGCTATGGAGCACGACATGAAGTGTCCAGATGAAATTCTCATCAACTTGAACGGAAGGATCAGAAGGCAAAAGGTTGTCTACGAATTCATTCCTGTTATGTGCTCAAAATGTAAAAAGCATTCGAGCATAAAAGTGAGTTCTGTAGAAGATCCATCTTCAATACCACTGTAACCAGCAATTCAGCCAAGGAAAGAAACCCCCCATCTTCCAAGGGTGAGGAGATTTGGCGGGTCAAGAAGGGCAGCAAGGAGCTATTCTTTAGGAAAAAACCAGTTACAGCAAATGGAGGCCTCTTTGAGGCCCTTCTATATCTGCAGGACAATGACGAGGTCATGGTTTCCACGGCCAAAGATGCACATCTTCTGCATGATCGCAGGGAGACGATTGAATAATTCCAGTGTGACCCCCTCAACGCCGAACTGACGTGGCACCCAATAGCCCCCCACGTGTGCTGGATGCAAACATGGATGACAATGAAGTCCAACCCCGACCGCGGTTAAGAGGTGTGGACAACACCAATGTTCAATCTTCAGAATCACACGACGATAGTAGAGGCCAGCCATCAACGAGGGTAAGAAATGTTGAAGAAGAACTGCCTACACCAATCTCTACATCCAATGGCCAAGCCAACCCCAATTTTTCCTATTATAAGGAAGAAGGAAACACTTCTCGATGTCTCTCTTGAGGAGAGAGAAGACGTCCATGCTGACAACACTGGGGATAGCCACACCATTGGAACACTCATGGATGTGGCCCATGAATGTGGGAACGTGGTTAAAGCCGCTCTTGGTATAAACTTGGTTTTGCCACTATTGGAAAGTAATAAGAAGCATACAAGTTCCATGCTTGAAGACAATAGAGAGCAAATAACAAAGGCATGCATGCTTGATGGTGACGTTTCTTTGACCCTAGACAAGAAGGAAGCTGCTGGTCTCTTGCACGTTTATGGAAAATATCATGAGGTGCAACCTTCTGTTGCTCATATTGAAATGGCAAGATTGAATAACCCTCAAGTTGGTCAATTGACTAATGCTCTTCCATTAGTACAGGATGAGGAAACGACCTCACAGGGGTCAGCTGGGTATGAAGTGATGATGAACGGCTTGTTATTGGTAGAGGGCCAACAAATAGGAAAACGTGGTTAGGGTAAGAAAGATGAGGTTCTCAAACTTGCGGATGATGGTGCGCAACTGCGGGGCAACAAAATTTCGCAAGGGTCGACCCACAGTGATGACGCTCTTGCCACTCCCCACACTTTTTCGGAAGTGCCGGCAGACTCTTCATGTCAGTCGACTGGTGATGATCGTGGTTCCGGGTGAACCAGTGTCCATTCCCCATCGATTGAGAAGAGCTGTGGCTAAGGACTCGGCTGTCACTACCCACAGGACTGCTACTATATTAGAAGTCGATGTCGAGCAACCTAACCCAAATGTCGCTGGTACACCTGTGGAGGCCCATGCTAAACAAGGTGCTGAAGGTGCAAGTTATTCTCTTAAGACGACATCAAAGACGAGAGCTAATATGAACCAGCAGAAACAAAAGACATTGAAGGCACAAAGAACCCCAAAGAGAAAATCCACTGTTGTGCAACAAGAGGGGGGTGGTCACCCCCCAAGTACGACCTCTTCCTCTTAATTATTTCGTCAATTTGTATCATGTCTATCATGTCATGGAATATTAGAGGAATCAATACAGCTGGTCGAACATCAGATATTAGAAATCTTATAAAAAATATGATGTTGGAATGTGCTTTCTTTTGGAAACAAAAATGCAAGTTTCATTAGCAGGAAGATGGTTTAAGAGGTTTGGTTTTATAATTCTTTTGTGATCAATGAGATAAATGAAAAATCACGAATTATGCTATTATGGAACCCGAATATCTATATTATTAATATCATTAATGTCCATGACCAAGCCATTACTGCAAAGGTGTCTCGACCTAGCATTGGACTGTCGTTCATCATAACAGGAGTGTATGGTAGGAATTCTGTGGCAGAGAGAGGTTCTGTGGGACCACCTACAAAACATCAAGCTCAATAGCGTTAGGCCGTAGCTTGTGCTTGGGGATTTCAATTCTATTTTGGATCGGTCAGAGAAGCTTAGTGGTAGAAATGCAATTAGTCCAGACTCTGAGAGTTTTGCAAAGATGCAAGTGGATTGTGCCCTTGTTGACTTGGGTTTCCCGAGAGGGTGGTTCTCATGATCGAATAGCAGTTTGGGATCTTGGTGCATTCGAGAGCTACTCGAAAGAGCTTTGGCTAATATAGAGTGGATGTTGGCAATGCCTGAGGTCAAGGTTGAACTCTTACCAAAAGGCACCTCAAACCACTCCCCATTACTTGTCTCCCCTGTCCCCATACCATCACCTGGCCCTAAACGTTTCCAATACTTCACCAGGTGGCAGGACGCCCCGGACTTTATGGGCCTCATTAAACAATCTTGGCAGGTATAGCTTTGGTGCACCCCTATGTACAAATTTGCAGCCAAACTCAAAAGGTTATGTGGGGATATAAGTAGATGGAACAAAAGGACATTTGGACTAGTTGACACCAAGATAAAGATACCAGAGATAGGCTCTCAACCCTGCATGATATGTTAAGTGAAAATCCTGATGACCTTTCCCTTACGATGGAAGAAACTCAGCTTGCATTCCAATTGAAAAAATATCTAACACATGAGGAGAGTATGTGGAGACAGAAATCAAGGGAAATTTGGCTTAAAGAAGGGAACTCTAACGCAAAATTTTTCCATATGTCCACCATAGTCAGAAGGCGGTATGATAGAATCCTCTTCCTCAAAGACTCCACCCGCAACCAAATTTCAAACCCTAAAGCCATTGAAAGCCATATCATTGCATATTTTGAGGAACTTTTAGTACCTGAGACACAAGAAGCCACTCTAATGGTTCCCACGGCTGCAAAATTTCCTTCTAGACATGCGGCTTACAAAGGAAGAATGTGATGCATTAACAAAAGACATTTCCCTGGAAGAAATTCGAAAGTGCGTATGGGATATGAAATCAGAAAGTGCACTGAGACCAGAAGGCTTTGGGATGGAGTTTTATAAGTTCAGTTGGGATGTTATCAAGAGTGATCTCTTAAGTGCTCTTAAGGACTTCTTTGGTAAAAAAAGGTTTCTCAAGGCCGTTAATTCTACCTTTATATGCCTGATTCCCAAAGTCTCCTGCCCCACTACTATGAAGGAGTTCAGACTAATTGGCCTTTGTAATGTCTTGTACAAAATCATTAGTAAGATAGTGACAAACAGGCTCAGGAGGGTACTTAATGGACAAATCCATCCTTGCCAAGGTGCACTTTTCAA